CATGATAAGCTTCGTTAGATTTAATCAACGCGATTTACAGCAACCGTGCAAATTATAGCCTACTTTGTTCCCAAATTGTTCATGTTAACAACATCAGCATTGCGTGACTAATGTTAAATTTAATGTGTTTTATGGTTACCTGTGTAGTTCAGAATTCATATTCTCCATAATAGCAAAACGAGAAAGGCACAACAAAGGAAACTCCATAACTGTGTGAATTAAGAAAACGTACTGTTACACGATTGAACTATTGAAATGTCTTACTTGTTCAGCAGAAAAAAGCCGTCTCTTCTTCCGTTTCGAACCCCTTCAAAACACGGAGTTCACGCACTTTTCAAAAGCCCCGCCGATGTTTAAATCCTTGTGTTCGCATGAGACGGTTTCTTTCTCTTTCTCTAGCCACCTTAAATCCGAAGTACGAAGTCTTTTGGGTTTTATAACTGCTGAATCTCCAGTTGACACTGATGATTGTTGTTTGGATCTTTCTGGATGCCATAAGTTTAATTATGTAAAGTGCTGCAAGAAAAGCCTATACATCTAAACATCTGGTCACGCGCAGTATAGCCGGCTAGCCGAAACTCCTTCTTTATGTGTACGGGTGTGACGTCATGACGCAAAGACATGCTCGAATTTCCCGCGGAAACCCACCAGTACCACTGGAATTAAAATCATTGTTACAAGCTAACCGTTTTGAATCTAGCTATGGCAAGCAGATAGTTTTGACCACTGGCAGAATAAGTTTTTTTTAATATAATTATTTTGGATTATTTTTAACTTAAAAAAGCTACGGACTGCAGCTTTAAGTTTTGACTCAAGTCATTCTGCTGTAAGAGTGCAAGCTGTTTCGGTGTCAGCCCATTGAAATGCTTGAATGTGTATTGTGTGTGACCGTCTGCATGGCGAATTGAGCTAATATAACACAAACATATGCGCAGGCATCTTCTGTAGCAGTTTCAGATGATATACAAACACTTCAAATGTTAGAGTATTTCCCCCATGTGACGTCTGTACATTGTATTTTTGTACTATTTTTAGCCACATATTTACAGGTGGTTTTTTTCCCTTCAAAATACTATGTGGTTTATTATTTCACTTGTTTGCACACTTGAGTGATCAGTAACTTAAATTGATATTTAGTATATTAAAGTTTAATGTTTTGATAGTGTATAACAGGTGTTGGTAATAAAATAAGATGTTTGCTTATTTGCTATAATATTATTTGCATGCACTCTTTCTTATTAGCAGTGACTACTGGCTAGTGCTGGCTAGAATAAATATATTTATTGATCAGTCCTTTTTACTTTTAATACTTAAGTTAGTACTTTTAAAACTGAAAATGAGTGCTCATACTTTTACTGAAGTCCTATTTTAATAATCCGGTATCTGTACTTGATAATCAGACGTGTGAAGTAAATACTTCACTTGAGAACTTTCCCCCCAAATTTGTACTCTTTGAGTATTTCAGTTTGTTGCAGCTTCTGCTTTGGCACTCTTCTTCGAGATGAATGTCGTGCTGCAGTCGGTCACGCTTGCACACAAAAGAACAAATGGCTGTTTTTCCACAGTAGATTTTGCAATAACAGCTCGTATTCTCAACGCTACAGTATTTGTTTAGATGTGGAAACGTGCATCGTCTCGCACTCTTTGATCTCCTGCTGCTTATCTGCTGAAACACCGACACTGCATGTGCTGAAGCTCGTTCAGGATGAGCCCGTTAGGATGCATGGGTCCAGCTGAACGTGTTGGAGATGTGTGTGTGAGGACTCCTGCATCCAGCGGGTCTCGCCGTGTGTCTCCGCTGCTAATGTGATCTGTGTGGACTCCCTCGGGAACTCGTGGCTCCTCCATTAGCACAGTCCTGTATTCTCCTGTCGGGCACTGCTATCCCTGTTCAGATTCATCACCTTTACACTGGGGTCAAACACGGCTGGAGGGAAACACTGACGAATCTTCGCTTCACACACTCTAAAAATGGCTGGGTTAAAAATAGGGATGCACGATATATCGGCCACCATATCGGTATCGGCCGATATATGATCATTTTTAATGTTATCGTTATCGGCCCGATGAGAGAATTTGCCTGATATATTAAAGCCGATAAATAATGTATTATTTCCCTCAGCTAAGACGCTTCAGATTGCTTGAAATATGATTGAAATCACTTCAAAAAAGGAAAATACATGTTAAGTACAACGTGCAGCACAAGTCTGTCCTTTAGGCTACATAACATTATAATGAGAACGTTATAATTGTGTGTTTTGAACATGGATTTTAATGCTGAGATTTTTGTTTTTGTAATCAGGCTCTCAAAATGTATATAAAAATTTGGAAATAGATTTATCGGCCGATATATCGGTTATTCAAATATAAAAGAAATTCGGTATCGGCCAAATTGTTCATATGGTGCATCTCTAGTTAAAAACAACCCATTTGGCAACCCAGCACTGGGTAAATATAGGACAGAACACATGCTGGGTTAAAGTAAAGATCACCTCAGGAAGTTTTCTCTCAGGACAGAAGACAAAATGACAAAGTTACAAATCCACTTTAATCCAGTTTGGCAAACCAGCAGTGGGTTACTATAACCCAGCAGGCTGGGTAGTTTATGAGGGGGAGCCTTATTTCAACTGTCAGTAAAATTTAACTCAGTAGTGGGTTACACACACACAACTACCCAACAGTTTGGAAAATAACCCAACAAAAATTACCCAACAGGCATAACCCAGCAGTCTGGGTAAAAATAACCCAACAAGCAGGATAAAGATCCTCTTCCCTCGGGAATAACCTGAGGAGTGTTTCGTGTTCTGGCACAGGTTTCATGGGTTGACTGAGTTCATATAGCGCGTCATTTCTTCATCTTTGACAGAAGAGTTGGGTGTTGCAAGACTTTCCCCACCATGTCATAGAATATTTCCCACTTGCAACACCATTGCCCTGCGGAAAGAGGCGATTCTCCTGACGCTGCTCGGATGCCATCTGGTGCTGTGTGTGTGTGTGTGTGTGTGTGTGTGTGTGTGTGTGTGTGTGTGTGTGTGTGTGTGTGACCGCAGAAACACCAGAGATTTCAGTTCTACATATATCAGGAAACTTACAATAGAGATATACACATACTCAACACACACTTCACATAATTACACGTACATCCTACTTTCTGTTTCACGTGTTTTGTATTGATGGTGTCGTCTAACTGTGTTTGGTCTTATGTTCTGCTTTAATAAAAAAGAAAGAAAAAGAAACCCCAGCGATGTGTGTTTGAGCCTGTCTTTGGTTCACTGCAGTTACTCAGCAATGCTGTCGACTGATGAGTTCACACATGCTTGTCTTAAAGCATATTAAAAACACCACATAGACACATAAACAACATTAAACGCTGGATTTTCTGTTTCTTCAACCCTAACTCTGCTAGAAGTGACGACTATCAATCCACAAAAGCATGGTGTCAGGTCACATATTTATTATGTATACATTATTAGAAAAACAAAACACTATTTTATATTTAATAAATGACTTGAAAACAACAAAAGTGCGTTGACTTGACGTTGAATGTCAACTCCGTCATTGGCGCGTCGCCTCTGTCAGACAGACACCTGGTGTTGACATAGAGGTGTTGCTTTCACAAAACAACTGGAGTTCATAGAAGCCATTTTGTTTTCTCTGATGATGCTATATGCTAATATAACCTGCTTCAGGAGAATAAAATGGTCTAAACATTTCAAGTAATTTCCTCAGAAATTGGAAGAGGCTGTTGACAAATCATGTCTGTGACACAGGAAATATTAACATGAGGATTTAAAATAGGCCTATTCTAAAACTATAAAGCTATCAGAGCCTGTCTGACACTGATGCACTCTGGCAAGGGGTCCTTCAGAGTGACAGCTGTCACTGATATTGCCTGATTTTATTACATTTTAATGAATGTCTGACGGTGTTGACAAAAAGTGGGACATACACAACTTTGAAATATTATGAAACACACGTGTCATTGAAAAACAATTTCTCTGATATGAGATATTATTAAGTGTTGCTTTTGATAACACACAATTTTTCATCATTAAATAACATTTTATTGCACATGAATGATTAGATGTAGTGAGAAGACAATAAGTGTCATAGATTTGATATAATAATGATAAAATTAAAGGGGATAATTGTGTTAAATACATTCTATTATTAATCCCTCATAACATTAGAAAATATGTTCATTTCATTTTCATAAGCCTAATAGCAGTAAAGTGTCTCAAGAGCCGTGTCGTGTTGTGTTATGAGTTCGGGGGCATGCAGTTTACAGCACTGCTAGAGTTTGTACTATAATGTTAGTTTCCGCAGACTTCCTTAAACTGAAATTACTCTACCGAGAACAATCGCATGAAGCAGGACAGGGAAGTTTCTTCTATTGTGCCGTATATTATTATCCAGTGACTGAAACCATCGAGTGAAGCGCTTCTCGAACGAGAACAAATGTGGGGCGGGGCTTGATTGTGTCTGTGGGGAATTGATTGGATGTTTGGATGGTGGTGGTTTGCTATTGGTGGATCTCAGGTGAGTGACAGGTTGCCCCACCCCCCATCATTATTTTGATTCAAGATAATCAGTCACATATTAATTTAAAACAATAATGATGTGTAAAAAAAAATATACATACTACAGTATACTGCACAGTACAATACAGGTAGCCTATTGTTTCTTGCGCACATCATAATCTTTATATATATATATATTTTAGATTGTAAACCGCGGAAGGTTTTCTGCTGTAGGCTATATTGATATCAATAATCAGTTTAACACAGCAGAAGTGGAGAGAGAGAGTACACACACGAGGTTTGCTCGCCCCACCCGCTGAACAACACACAGAATCCGGAAGTGCGAGTGTTTCATCACCGAGACACAAACACGCTCCTGAAACTCAGCTACACACCTATCTCTACACAACCTGTTATTTTGCGCCGATGTGGATTTTCTGATGAACTGCTGAGGCGAGCAGCCGAAACCTGAATACACATCAAGAGGATCGCTAGGGCGAACAGGTACGTGTACGTGTGAGTGTGTGTGTGTGTGTGTGTGTTCGTCAAATCACGACATGTTATTTACAGCCGTCGCCTTTGCTCGAAAAAGCCCTATCTGTGTTCAGTATGTTTACTTCAGTCACGACTGGACTGGTTTAATATAACCTGTCATGGCTTGCACCTTTGCAACTCTTCTTCGTCTGCCAGGTGTGATGATGATGATGATGATGATGTTTCTCAGTGTTCAGTTCAGTGGTTCGTTCCCGTGAACAGTGAGGGTTTGTGTAGCCAGAGGCTCCGATTTATGGCACAAATATGTTGTCGATGTTTCATGTTTCATTTGCATAAACTAAGCTCAAGCGCGTGCCCGTCGAGCAGATGTGCGCAGATGCTGTCGTGCTGAATGTGTCCTTTTGAGTTATTACTGTGTGTTGACTGTAGAACACATGACAGATTGCTAACAGGAAGGCATGCTTCTCCCCGTCGAGTTTGAGGTGTTTTCATGTTTCAGAACTTAAAAAGGTTCAGAATAATCGCAGATTGCTGAACACACGCTAGTTTAAGGTGTCGTGTGAACACGACTGTGAACGGCCGGTTTCCGCGTTTAGGTTCTTGTTCAGATGGAAACTGGTGTGGGCGAAGTGTTGGGAAACTACATACGGGCGGTGTCTCAACTCGGTCGTGGTGAGGGTACGTGTGTGTGTCTGTGTGCCTCACCTGCCGACGGAGAGCCGAGTCCAGAAGAGTCGATTCCTAGACTCGACTCCTGCACAGGAATCGACTCTCGAGCTGCAGAAAATCGCAGATACATTCTTTCATCTTACATGTAACTTCACAAATAAATAAATAAAATAACAACAGCCAATCACATCATACCTTTGTGCCAGCTTATTGGTATCATCAAGTTTTATCGTATTGTAATCCCATTGTTCATAATCATTAAACTAATCGTACTTTTAAAGAAAACCTTCCAACAAGATTAAACACATTAGTACGTGTACATTATTGTATGTATCTAGGTATTATTTTAGCGTCTTGAACTCACCTGTCCAAACAGCTTTTATAAGAGATGACAGCTTATCGCCCTCATCCTCTTTAAAATTAGGCATTGGCAACACAACTAGGACATGATGATGATGCTCATCGTTTCAAGGTAATATCTAAAATCTCTAAACTGGACTAGTTTTGCCTGGAGTTTTAGGCATTGTGTCAGTGTGTGTGAAACTGAAGGCAAGCCTGTATTCTTGTTCCCAGCGCTGTTTTGGAGTCGAATCCCGGAATCGGTTCCATCGACTCTACAGTGGGAGTCAGGAATCGGAGTCGACTCTATTTTAGTGAAATATCGCCCTCTTCTGTCAGTGGTCCGTAACACACTCACCTGAACAGAAACCCTGAAACGACTAGAACAGAAAAATAGAACAGAAACACACATACACACGCGCACACACGGTATGTGATATGTTTTAAACATATCAATAAACAATATATTTATTCTAGCCAGCACTAGCCAGTACTGATAAGAAAGAGTAGTGCATGCAATTAATATTATTGCAAATAAGCAAAGATTTTATTTTATTACCAACACTAAACACTATCAAAACATTAAACTTTAATATACTAAATATCAATTTAAGTTACTGGTAATTCAAGAGTGCAAACAAGTGAAATAATAAACCACATAGTATTTTGAAAGAAAAAAAACCCCCTGTAAATATGTGGCTAAAAATAGTACAAAAATACAATGCACAGACGTCACATGGGGGAAATACTCATTTGAAGTGTTTATATCATCTGAAACTGCTACAGAAGATGCCTGTATATGTAGAAAGGACATAAAGACAGTATATTGTAAATATTTAATTAATGGCATTAAATGATTATACTGTGAATGATACCAGTCCCGCTACTGATGTCTGTAATGAGTAATTATAGTCATCCAGCATTAAAGGTGCTCTGAGCGATGTTGGGTGATGTCACTTCTTGTTTACGCTCAAAGTATTGTCAAACAAAACGAAGGCTAGCTCTACCCTCATAATTAATAACATTAGTGTGGAGTAACCCTCAAAATTAATAACATTAGTGTGGAGTAACCCTCATCATTAATAACATTAGTGTGGAGCAACCTCATCATTAATAACATTAGTGTGGAGTAACCTCATCATTAATAACATTAGTGTGGAGTAACCCTCATAATTAATAACATTAGTGTGGAGTAACCCTCATAATTAATAACATTAGTGTGGAGTAACCCTCATCATTAATAACATTAGTGTGGAGTAACCCTCATCATTAATAACATTAGTGTGGAGTAACCTCATCATTAATAACATTAGTGTGGAGTAACCCTCATCATTAATAACATTAGTGTGGAGTAACCCTCATCATTAATAACATTAGTGTGGAGTAACCTCATCATTAATAACATTAGTGTGGAGTAACCCTCATCATTAATAACATTAGTGTGGAGTAACCCTCATCATTAATAACATTAGTGTGGAGTAACCTCATCATTAATAACATTAGTGTGGAGTAACCCTCATCATTAATAACATTAGTGTGGAGTAACCTCATCATTAATAACATTAGTGTGGAGTAACCGCATCATTAATAACATTAGTGTGGAGTAACCTCATAATTTATAACATTAGTGTGGAGTAACCCTCATCATTAATAACATTAGTGTGGAGTAACCCTCATCATTAATAACATTAGTGTGGAGTAACCCTCATCATTAATAACATTAGTGTGGAGTAACCCTCATCATTAATAACAGCGTGGAGTAACCTCATCATTAATAGCATTAGTGTGGAGTAACCTCATCAGTAATAACATTAGTGTTGAGTAACCTCATCATTAATAACATTAGTGTGGAGTAACCTCATCATTAATAACATTAGTGTGGAGTAACCTCATCATTAATAACATTAGTGTGGAGTAACCCTCATCATTAATAACATTAGTGTGGAGTAACCTCATCATTAATAACATTAGTGTGGAGTAACCTCATCATTAATAACATTAGTGTGGAGTAACCCTCATCATTAATAACATTAGTGTGGAGTAACCTCATCATTAATAACATTAGTGTGGAGTAACCTCATCATTAATAACATTAGTGTGGAGTAACCCTCATCATTAATAACATTAGTGTGGAGTAACATCATCATTAATAACATTAGTGTGGAGTAACATCATCATTAATAACATTAGTGTGGAGTAACCCTCATCATTAATAACATTAGTGTGGAGTAACCCTCATCATTAATAACATTAGTGTGGAGTAACCTCATCATTAATAACATTAGTGTGGAGTAACCTCATCATTAATAACATTAGTGTGGAGTAACCTCATCATTAATAACATTAGTGTGGAGTAACCCTCATCATTAATAACATTAGTGTGGAGTAACCCTCATCATTAATAACATTAGTGTGGAGTAACATCATCATTAATAACATTAGTGTGGAGTAACCTCATCATTAATAACATTAGTGTGGAGTAACCCTCATCATTAATAACATTAGTGTGGAGTAACCCTCATCATTAATAACGTTAGTGTGGAGTAACCCTCATCATTAATAACGTTAGTGTGGGGTAACATCATCATTAATAACATTAGTGTGGAGTAACCTCATCATTAATAACATTAGTGTGGAGTAACATCATCATTAATAACATTAGTGTGGAGTAACCTCATCATTAATAACATTAGTGTGGAGTAACATCATCATTAATAACATTAGTGTGGAGTAACCTCATCATTAATAACATTAGTGTGGAGTAACCCTCATCATTAATAACATTAGTGTGGAGTAACCCTCATCATTAATAACATTAGTGTGGAGTAACCTCATCATTAATAACATTAGTGTGGAGTAACATCATCATTAATAACATTAGTGTGGAGTAACATAATCATTAATAACATTAGTGTGGAGTAACCCTCATCATTAATAACATTAGTGTGGAGTAACCCTCATCATTAATAACATTAGTGTGGAGTAACCCTCATCATTAATAACATTAGTGTGGAGTAACATCATCATTAATAACATTAGTGTGGAGTAACCTCATCATTAATAACATTAGTGTGGAGTAACCTCATCATTAATAACATTAGTGTGGAGTAACCCTCATCATTAATAACATTAGTGTGGAGTAACCTCATCATTAATAACATTAGTGTGGAGTAACCTCATCATTAATAACATTAGTGTGGAGTAACATCATCATTAATAACATTAGTGTGGAGTAACCTCATCATTAATAACATTAGTGTGGAGTAACCCTCATCATTAATAACATTAGTGTGGAGTAACCTCATCCTTAATAACATTAGTGTGGAGTAACCTCATCATTAATAACATTAGTGTGGAGTAACCTCATCATTAATAACAGTGTGGAGTAACATCATCATTAATAACATTAGTGTGGAGTAACATCATCATTAATAACATTAGTGTGGAGTAACCCTCATCATTAATAACATTAGTGTGGAGTAACCCTCATCATTAATAACATTAGTGTGGAGTAACCTCATCATTAATAACATTAGTGTGGATTAACCCTCATCATTAATAACATTAGTGTGGAGTAACCCTCATCATTAATAACATTAGTGTGGAGTAACCCTCATCATTAATAACATTAGTGTGGAGTAACCTCATCATTAATAACATTAGTGTGGAGTAACCTCATCATTAATAACATTAGTGTGGAGTAACCTCATCATTAATAACATTAGTGTGGAGTAACCCTCATCATTAATAACATTAGTGTGGAGTAACATCATCATTAATAACATTAGTGTGGAGTAACCTCATCATTAATAACAGTGTGGAGTAACATCATCATTAATAACATTAGTGTGGAGTAACCTCATCATTAATAACATTAGTGTGGAGTAACATCATCATTAATAACATTAGTGTGGAGTAACCTCATCATTAATAACATTAGTGTGGAGTAACCCTCATCATTAATAACATTAGTGTGGAGTAACCCTCATCATTAATAACAT